ATTATTGCTGAATTATGCCAAAGACAGTTTACTTGTTACATTTTCGTAACAGGTTTGTACCTCACAAGATGTGATAGTGAATTTGTGATTTATTGTCTAATTTATTTTGCTATATTATATTAATGTGGAACTACAAATAAATATTTTTTGATGGACTTCTTTTTGTTCTTATATTTCAGATGTTTCTTCATCTACCATTCTCGTAGAGCTGGTAATAAAAAATGTGCATCATATTCTTTGGTTTAAATATTGACTATATTTAATTTGAAGATATATAAAATATTTGAGTACAGACTCACACAAATCACAGTTTATTTCTTGTTACACAAAGAAATATAGTCAGAGAGCTAACCCTATATGTTAAAAAAATTATTTGATCATAAATAAAATAAATAGTATTCCTAAAACTAAAGGAGCATTTTGTTTTTGAGGCAGCAATCGTTATCATCTCCATTTTGAACTAATTGGAGACGGAAAAATGGTAAACTCTTCATTGGTCCAATTTAGGTTTGCATCCTTTATACTTTATAACCGAAAAAATCTTCTTCTTAGGGGTATCCGAAACCTCTGCGTCTTTCTTTTTCTATACACAAACAGTGGTCGAAATACTATCATATCCGCAGTTTGCATTATTTCATCGTTATTGTTGGATTCACTATTCTTTCTCAAAGTGGTTCTTTGTAAGTCAAATTTTTCGGATTTAATGCTACCATACTGCTTAGAACTACTGGAGTTATTTGATGGGAAACCAAAGCATGCTATGCAATACAGCATAAGGACGAATGCCACTGCCTAAAAAATGAGATACTAACTTTTAATCTAAGAACACCTAATATTGAAACAACAGAACATAAACGTTATAAATTTTACAGCTAACTATAGATTTTTGTAACAACGTAAAATTAAAAATTAAAAAAAAAATAAAATTCACCTAATAGGCTGATTAACGTTTATTTTGAAATTATGTTTTCTTATAAATATACAGGGTGATTCATTCATAATGTCATTAATTTTAACCACGTATTCGGAAGGCTTAATAAAGACAGAAAATCGGAAAATAAAATTTTTTACTCGACTTTTAAAAATGAAGGAAATCAACCCATAACTCCCGCTACGAGGGCTGCCCTGCCGATGCCCGGATCCTCGGAAAATTTTGTAACGTAATGTCACGAACAGTTGTCGGCTAAAGGAACAGCGTTGCCAAGTTCAGGTTCAAGCTCGCCAGGTTAGTATTTGACATATAACCGACCACTTCGTACACTCGATGCACCTGGGCGACTACAGCTACTACGAAAACATAGCCCGTATTTTAGATTTTAAATTAAATTTGTTGATACGATTTTCCTTTGATAAAAGACCGACAACTTTTTGCTACTACACTCGTATTAGTCTAGGGGCTAGGGGCCAGATAGGTTTCCGTAGCCAAACAGAATTCCACGGCTGCAAATAACTTATTTTTAAGTATTTTGACTTCTCGAAACCAAAAAACTTGGTGGGAAAGCCTGAAAGTGGTCAGTTTAATTGTTGTTAACAAATTGAATGTTTAAATGGCTGTAAAAAGTTTATTTTTATAGCTAGTACAATTTTTTATCTGTTAATTATTACGTTTTCTCACAACAAACATATATTTTTTTGAAAATTAAAAAAAGATTAACTTTAACCAAAGTTATTGCAAATTTAGTGCAAATATATTACATTTTCCGTCTCT